AACCTTATGAGAGCGATTGAAAAAAAAAAGAAAAATTTATTAGATATTTAGAGCCGGAGGGATCAAATGAACATATCTATTATAACTTTATATAATCAGTCTGCTTTGTACCATCTCTATTATTCTACGTAATTCTAGTGTGTATATTCTGCTTTAAGAGCTATTATTAATACACTGCTTCCTTGCAACCTAAATTATCATCATTACCCACTCTGTTTTAATTCACAAGGGCTTAGGCCTAAAGGTCTTAAGAGCATATTTTAATCAACTGATTACCTTTTTGTTTTTCTTTCTTTATCTTTAGTTTCATTGTTCTCTAGAATATTTATTTTTATCTGTAAAATAATCCAAGTTTTTGAAATAAGTAATTCAAGATATGAATCATAATTTTCAAATTATATTTACTCTTTCAAATGATGTGATCTTCACTGTAAAGTGATGGTAAATCTTGAGTAAACTGATGGGTGAATTTTTTTGAGATTGGATAAGAATATTAGAGATGATAATAATCACATAAGATTATGCTATTTGATGTAATACCTTTGTCGAGCCATTAGCACAACAATTATTAGACCAGGAAGTAGATTATGACAGGTCATATTTTCCATTCATTATATTACTGTTGGTTCAGATTAAAAGTACATTATGATAAGCCTATAAAAACTTATCTATTTCTATTTTTAAAATTTTTCTAGTCTTGGGTATTTTTAGTATCAGTAAACTCTTGCATGAGCTTTGTGGTATCTAGACTAGATATCACTGTTATAAAACTTTCTAAACAACGTTTTATGGCTTAGTTTGATGAATAAAAGGTCGTTGACATTGATGCTATGAATATCCATTTTAATTACTCTAAAAGCAAAAGATAGTTAACTGAATATTAATTGTCTTTAATTTATTTTTACAATAAAAATGTTTTGATGAATATTTTTTTCTATTTTTGATTGGCAACTTGAAAAAATAAACTAAACCAACAGTAAAAAAAAAGTTGAGAATAAATAAAATATAAAAAAATCTATACAATCCGTGTTACGCATGCAAGGTTTCACTCGCATTTTTCTCAGCAAATATTCGTTCAATTCTCAATACAAATTCCCTGCCACATTTTTCCTTCAATGAATCGGGATTTTTCGAGTGCGATTTGCAACAGTCCTGCACCTAGAGGGTTTGACGATGGTTGAAGATGGAGCGGATTTTATTGAAGCTGCAAAGCAGTAGAACCTTGGAAGACACAGACAGTGAGGTACAGACAGACAAATGTTAGAGGAAAGAGCACCAACTTATACACCCCTGAGCTCACAAGGATTTCACGCGTCGAGTTGCATTACCGGATCCTGTATCGAGTTAGATGGATTACGAGATGTTGAGGTGGGACCTTATGGAGTTTACCCTCAGTCTTAACATTTTACATCAATTCAAGAATATGGGTAGTTTAGAAGATTTTATTTCAATTTTGTCGACTAAAATGTAGCAATAAAAACAATCTTATCTTAACATTATCAACAAATTAAAATAAATATTTTCTTACTCATGAAAATGTGTGCAAAGGATACATTTTTGTCTAAAAATAATTATCCAATTATTTTTAATATTACAGAAATGCTTTAAAAATTAAAATAATAATGCATTTTTTGTAAATAATTTTTTCTTTTATCATCGAATTATAAAGATGATTACTAGATGGAATTTAATCGACATTAATTAATTTATTTATTTTTTTGGCGCAAGTTTTACTCCAAAGTGTCCATCTTCTGGGCGATGTTCATTTATTGGTTTAATTACCTGAAATAATTCTAATTAGAATCGTTTAGAAATTTTTTCCTACTAATATTGTAAAGATTAATTATTAAATTATCATTCTCTCTGTTTAATTTATTGTAATTTAATTTATAAATATATTAAATTAAAAAACAATTATTTAATTCTGCACAAAGCTAAAGCGAATTTAAAAATAAATGAGTAATCCATTAAAATTCAGTGACTTTTGATGAAACCAGAATCTTATTTGTACTTGAATGAGCGTTTAGATAAGGGCGTGAAGTATCTAAGAAAGTGGTAGTGATACTTGAGAGCATCTAAAGGGTGCTATGATATCATGGCGCTTGAAGGATGTGCAGCTGACGGCTCAATTATCTCGAGAACAGGGCTTGCGTTGCCGTAGTCACACCCGACCATACCTCCAACCACACACACACATGTCAACACACCTACATCACATACACACTTTCATATAAAAGAAATTATAGAGCAGTCTTTATTCATACTACAACCCCCGCAAGTCCATTATCCTCGCGGCTATTAAATGCCTCTTTTTGCCTTTAGCTTTGTAAAGCTTTGACTTGTGTCAAATGTGTTTCCTCAATCTTTAACCCCTCGCATAAAAATATAGAATGGTGAGAGAAGCTTTAAAGAATGGTAATCAATTTATCGTAATTTGAAGCTCTTCTTAGAATAGCAGGGAGTGAATCAATTATGCACAATCATTTATTGGGACATTTATCGTCTTTCCGAGATCTTTAAATATTTAATTAATTTGAAATAATTATTTATTATATAAATTAAAAGATATTTAACATTATGACATTTTTAATTAATTAGAATAATTAGGTTTTATCAAGAATTATCCTAAGTTTTTTGTTTGTATTACTGAAAATAATTTAAAAAATTTGAAATACTTGGATTTACCAGCATCAATTGAAGTCTCATTTGATATTTAATAACTAAGTGCTATTTATCTATTCAAGTTTGAAAATAAACCAATTATTAATTAATGAAGTATTAAATAAGACTTCAATGTATGATAATAAATCCAATTATTTCTCATTCTATTTTTCCAGAAAAAAAAAATAAATTTTAATCATCTTTATTGACTGTTCAATGCTAATACTTTATCCAAGACTGATATTTCATTGATTAATAGTGATTTTATTAATTCAGTTTCAAGAAAATAGCTCATATTCATTTTGTTTATTTAAATAAAGTGTTTCATTTAAATTTGAACTTCTCTTAAAAAAGAAAAACTCTAAAAGTATTTTTCACAAAATATTCATGAATATCTAGAGAAAGATAAAGATGTTTTTAAATTAATTATTGTTTATGTACTTTTTTAGCTGAAAAAAAGTCTGAAAAAGATAAGAGCTAAACCCTGTGCTGAAGAACTCGGCGACATTTTTAAATTTCTTGTGATGTTTTAATGGAAATGAAATCCCTAAAGACAAGTAGTAAGGGCACGCAGATGAAGGCCAAGCGTGCTAAGCTATGTCTGAAGGCTATAAGCTCACACTCTTGATGTATAGTAATGTTACCTGTACTCTCATTTCACTCAATTATGTTTTACATTCATTTTTCCAGTTTATTCCACTTCATTTAAAAGTTTCCAAGTCCATGTTTTCTCTCTTGGAAAATTTACAAAATCTTTATCACTACCAACTAGCACATCATTTTAATAAGCCTCTTCAACATGACATGATTAAAAAAATCCTAAAAATTCGACACTAGGTGTTTCAGGAGAGTCAAAAAAGATTCTGTAGAATAATTAATGAGATTTTGAAACCAAAAATAAGTGAAGCATAAGTCTGATTGTAAACAGCCAGTTGGAACCGAAGAATAAAATGAATTGAAATAGAAAAAGGATCAGAAGAAATAGTGAATGGTGAAGGTAAACATGTAATGGATGCATAGTAGTATTCGCATAAAGTCGTGGAGGGTTGATTTTATGCTTCGGGTTAGGCCAAGCAACTACAACTGTACGCATGGCGGGTGGAGAAATCGTGTGGGTTTCCATCCCCGTTGGCTAAATCTCTGAAATCAGCTGCCAGATTATTCTATTACCGCGTATCAACATCGGGTATGTTTAGTCTGAAAACACTGTTCATACCGCTTGCCACATTGTTTCAAACAGATAAAGAATTTAACGTCAGGTAATTAAAAGGCTGCCGGGCATTTTTGTGACAGACTCAGCTAATTCTAAAGTATAAGATAACCATGGTCTTGGTATTATTCTTATTAAGAAAACAGTTACTAAAAAAAAATAACAAAAACAAATGATTTTTATTAAAAGATCAAAAAGGATTGTAATTATAATAATAATTATTATTGTTATTATTATTTTGGTAAATTTATCATTTGATTAGTAGCAATATGCATTTTATATTCTCAAAGCATGAATGTCGAATGGAGAAATAAATATAATATCTATACATATAACAGAGAAATAGGTGGATGAAAATACAGGAGTAAGCAGCGCGCGAGTTTACCTCGCGGGTTGTCGAAACAATAATAATCGGTGCAGTATGTTCAACGGACTGGTAATTAAAATAAAATTAATTGGATTGCTCTACAAGAGAATATTATATAAACAATTGTTGCCGTTGGCTTCAATGATAATGTTTATATATATTTACATTAATTTCGTTTATCCTGTAGGAAGTAATTATTAGATTTTTTACATTTTTATGTTTAAATTTACTCTGAAATATTTATTGATACCAAATGATTTTTTTAGTGGCGATAATTAGTTGTATGGATTTTTTAAAAGTAATTATACGCATGTGCTAATATAAATCCTATGATATTTTGCTAATTTCTTTCCTTCTTTGATAGTCCAAAAGCTTTTATGAGGCATCAGTGCTATTTCCTCAGTTGAATCGCCATAATTTTATAAACACCCAGAAAATCTTGCGTCATGGAATTGGCTTCGTTGCTATGCAAGATTGCTTTAAAATGTCTACGGCTTCTTCTTCCCGCCGGGAAAATAATTACAAAATCACAAGCTAACTGAAGGAGAGCTTGGCCTTCACATTAACAAAGTTCGCCTTCATTTCAAATCTTACCCAGAAACGGTTAATTCAATTAAATAAATTTCGATGTTTCTTTTTTTTTTTAGCCTCAATTATGGTTTATTAAATTTATCAGTATTCTCTTTTTTACACACAGCCTTATTTTTTATCTAAAAAAAATTACCATGGATTAAAAATGATAAAAACAAATCTATAACTAAAATTCATTCTGCTATTGAAAAAAAAAAAAATTAAAAATACACTTCAAATTAAATTGAATAAATTTTGTAACCTTAATCATGAGTGACATTGATCAAAAGTCATCTTCTGATGATGACAATTCATCTGATGATGATGAAACTTCAAGCGAAGATAACATAGATTCGTGTGAGGAAGAATATGAAAAAGACAAATGGATTCACGATGATAAGCCTATTTGGAGACTATACTTAAACTCGTATGTGATTATAAGAAATTATAAATAGAGAATAATAATAAGATAAATTATAGCAAAATAAATAGTAGTTGATGAATTTAAAGGTACGTAGAAAAAGCAAAAGAACGAAGAAAAGAAGAAAAATTAAATAATCAAGATAGGGAGTTTCCTAAATTATCAGAAAATTTGGACTTTGAAGAAGAATTTAATCCTCCATATGAATGTTTTCCATTAAACATCTTTAATATCCAAGCTATGGTACCTGATCATGTAGATAGCATTCAGAAAACCAGAATTTGGCAAATGATGAAGTCAAATCTAGAGGTAAAATACATTAGCTTGATAGTTCAGCAAAAAAACTTATTTATTAGTTTGTTCGTTAAATATAAAATTATATTTGACATTTTTATTGAGGTTGACATGAAGAACCTGGAAGCTGAAGTAATCCCGGAAGTCAAACGAACTGACAGCGGGAAATGGCCAGGTACTTGGCCATGTATTGAACAAGATATTGCTGGAGAGATGAGACAGCTGAAGAGATTGGAAAAGTGGAAGCAAAAGGGTCTACTTCCTTGTCAATATTATTCGGAGAATGAATTGGATGATTCTGAGAAGCCATATGATGATTATGCTAGTCATAAAGAGCTTGGACATGCTAGAGTTCCAGCAGTTTGTGTTGATGTGAAGAAAAAATTTTATGTTGACCGAGCATCTGGTGAAAATCCTGGGTTAGTTAACGGAGATTATATCATATGTGAGTTTAAACCAGTGAATGGTGAGTCGCGTGTGTATGCTCAAGTCTGTTTGAGAGGAATCAAGGGGATGCATCTGATTGAACTATGGAGGGAAAGGGAGAAGACCTGGAAGTTTTGTTTCTATCAAGCTCTTGTGGCTTTGCTTGTTAAAACCCAACTCAGGTGGGTCACTATCCCTATTCAACCACCATTATCTATATTTTTTTGAACATATTTTTAATTTATCAAAGTATTCTAAACTTGAATATTTTATTAAACAGATAAATTTTTTTTATTAAATCTTTAATTATTGTAAAACTATATAACTTATACCATTAATTACTATAATTAACTCCAGATATAAATACGCAACAAGCAATAATATCGATTATATCTACGATCATGCTTGGATGCTATTTATCCACATGGGAAGTCTGACTATATCAAACAAACTTTGTTTGAATGATGTTATTGTTTACAATTACAAATATAACATTGAAGTAGAACTAGTCCATGAGTTGAATGATGTTCCTATACCAAAGAATGTTTCTGAAAAATATTTCGAATCAACTCTACTAAAAATGCGCTGCATGAAACGTCCAGAGCTAATGAAAATAACTGAAGAAATTGGCTGGGAAAAAATGAGCCAATCTTATGAGTTACCGGTACATGAAGAAACTAAGAAGATAGAACAGTGGTTTGATGAATTACCAAACAACTATCGGAATTGCATATTTAGAACTAGCAGATTCTCATTGGCTTTTTGGAATGATGGAAATTTCTGGTACTTATTTAACCCATACCGTTGTGATCGTTATGGACTTTGGAATGATAAAGGCCATGCCTGCATAATGAAATTCTGTACTAAAATTACTCTGAAACGACATCTCATGATCTTGTTATTAAGAGCTTATGCTTATGAACCATCAAAATTACTCAAAATCTCAGATAAGCAAGAAAACAATGAATCCATGGAAACCCATTCAGAAAGTGAACAAAAATTGAATACATTTTCAATTCAGATATTTCACATAATTTACCATTGTGTGAAAATCCACAATGTCAAATTGCTTCAGAGGAAGCCATTGAAGTCACAAGTAAAAAAAGTTTGGAAAGAATTAGATGAATGTGATGCTGACATTTTGACGAACAATTCAGAACAGTTGTTGAAAGATGATGAGATGTCTGATGTTACACCAAGGGAACAATCAGATTGGTTGGAAAATTGTAAAATAACTTGGAGTAGAAGTCCAATGTCCCAGAAACGTATCACCAAGGAAGGTGTACAAGTGTTGGGAAAATCTCGATGGCATCAATACTATGTAGAAGAAAAGAGGAAACTTTTTTCACTGTGGGGTGAGATTCATCCGACGGGTGAAATTTTTGCTAAAGAAAATCGTGGAAAGCAGATATATGCATGTTATGTCGTATGTGCTGGGATGACACGAATAATGGCGCCGGAATATTGGAGTTCCAAGGTATTGGATACGATAGTAATGTGTGGTGATCGATATTACACATCAAGTAGGCTTCAAAGCAAAGTGTATGCTTCAAAGAATATGTCTGATAATGTATTTGCATGGAATAGACATTTAGTGAGACATTTTAAAATCAGTCAACTACTCTTTGAAGTCGATATTCTTCCTGCAATTCATGGCGAATTGTATACCAAGAATTCTTTATGGAAAATTCTTCAGCAGATGCTTTCGAGATACCCTTTTGTCATCTTGACTTGTGAAAATTCTAGACTTGGGCTCTTTAAATTTTGTGGTGCATATTATATGATGGATGTTAATTCTATTGGTCCGCCACTTTTTAACTATGGATGTGGGGTTGGGTATTTGATGAGAGCTACCAGTTTCTTGAAGTTCATGGAAGTGGTGGTGTTGACGATTGGATCCATTGAACAGAGTAAGTTTGCTGTCAATCCAGTAGATATTTTGAAAATTTTTGATGAAGAATCTCCAAGTAATAAAGAGAAACAATCTGAACGGAAGAAAAAATTGGTTAAAAAACAATTTGGAACTGATGGTTTAAAAAGAAAAAAACAAGCAAAAGATAATAAGAAAATTGATAAAGTTACTTATAAATAATATTTAATCATTACTGATTAATTCTGGAAAAAATGTTAATTATTTTTCTAAAGTATTGTTAGATATTTAATGTATGGAAGAATATTTTTAATGGAAGTTCGTGATAATGCTTCAGCGATTTATTGAAATGCTGATGTAATAGAAGCCTAGATGAACAATATAACTTGGAAGATCCACAGGTACGATGGTATGATTTGATCATATTTACTGCAGAAACCAAATAAAAATCAATATTACATTTCCAGAAAACTTACACAAATATAAAAAGAGAAGAAAAAAAGAAGCTAACATTTATTACAATTTTAGAATTTCATCTGTGTACAGTGCATAAAAATATTCCAACAGCAATTAATCTTGACTCAGTAATAATTAGACAAGGTAATATAAAGCACTGCAAGAGAAAAACAAATATCGCAGAGCTCGTAAAGCTGAAACAAAAAAAATATGAGTCCATTAATTAAAAATTGAAGCCACTCAAACACTAGCTTCGTATTTCAACGAGTACAACCATCAGATTTTCTGTGTATGCTTTTTATTTTCATTTTACGTAACGATGAGAGAAAAAATTATATTCCATAACTCTTATTAAACAAAATATATTATTTAAAAGTTTTCATTTGGTATTGAATGATGTTTTATCATTATCAATTGTTTTAATATTCATTAATGAATAATTTTTGATTATAGATACCGAACTGTTCTGCAATATAACAATTATGAATGATGAATTTAATTGAATATTGATGTAGACATTGATGATTATTAACATCTCTGAAAGCTTAACAGCTATTTTTTATTTTGCTTTTAATCAATTCTTATAAATTAATAGCATTTTAACATTATTACTATTGCTATAATTGTTCATTTATCACTAATAGTACCAACACAATTATCATAATAATTTGCAGACTTATACTAACTCAAAAGTTATTCTACCGACTCAATTATTTCTGCATATTAATAACAATGTCTAAGTTTGGTCAAGTTTCTCCGAGTGTGTAACAGTTATGAGTGTCAAGGGCTATGAATAAACTTGAGGGTCTAGTGTATAACCCAAGTTAATAGAAAGGTCGAACAAGTTGCAGTTCCGAGAGTAGTTACTGGTGACTTTGGTCTGTTGAATAATTGAAGCGGGTAGATTTCAACGTCAAGAAATAAAGGGCACTTAAGTCGAGCGTCTTTAAGACTCAGTGTGACCTCAACTGTCGACAAGGGACCATTAAACTTTCACTGAGAATCGTCTTAGTTTTCGGCAGCCTCAGGGTTTATGTACTTACCCGAACTCAGTTCACTTTATGCTGTGCCGAACTTCTCGCTGGTGTGTCAGTAATTGTCAACCCTCGCAGCATACTTGGCGAGTTCCTTTGCTCAAGTCTTCATCAACCAGTCTCAGGACAATTTACATATGTTTACTTGACTTATTAGCCTCATAACAGCTCAAAGTGGAAATAAATATATCAATGCAAAGTAAACCAACCATCAGATCAATCAACCATGAATAAATTATGTGATTTTTTTATTCAAAACAATTTTTTTTTTTTTTGAAGAAAATTGAAACAAAAGTTTGAATTTCTAACTTTCGATCTGTTTGCTTTAGGGTCCAGTTTGAATGGTATTATATAAAGATCAAATGTAAATAGACCAGTTTAATTTTCAATTGGCACAATAATTTATTCGTTTATACATATTAATTGCGATCAAAGCGATATATTTACAGGTTTATTATATAATCAATATTTACATGATAAATTATTTACATATTTTTATCAACTAGTTCAATTTATTTTTCATTTTCTATTATTTCAATTTATGTCAATTTATTTAAATAGATATTTGTTTCTTACAAAAAAAAGATCACCATCAGAATTAGATCACTTTCGGAATGACACCTTTTTATTAGGCACGTTCAAAAGACTACGCCACCTCTAGATCTGAACTGTCAGTGTCTTGATCATGTTGACCATTCAGACTCATATGTCCTGCTACTCTGATTGTACTCGATGCTATTCCATCATCACTACGTTGACGTTGTTCTAATTGAAGCTTTCGTAATCTTTCTTGTTCTTCTCGTTTCTGCTTACGCCATTTTGCTCGTCGGTTTTTGAACCAGACCTGGAATTCAAAATTTCAATTAATTTTTCAAATCAAATGTAAACTTTCAGTAAAATATGTGAAAGTTGGAAGTAATATTCTAGAATCAGGAGTTATAGTTTTTTCTCTTTCCTATCAAATCCATCAAGAATTTTAACTATTTTATTTTATTTGTATTGAAAAAGTTTAGTTTTATTTCAAGTGCTTGCACTGATCAAATATTTTCTGTTCTCCCTATTTAAAGAAATTGAACGAATCCTAACTTTCCTGACAAATTCTACATGATGTATTTTTAAAATATTTCTTTATCTTCGAGTATCGAGAAGTCGTACCCCTACTAATTCTTAGCAAACATCATGAGAGCAGGTGTAGTCCAGGTATATGTTGTTTCAGAAATTTTCAAACAATATTATAGTGAAGTGAAATTTATAAAATTACGTGGGTGGTCGGATAGATGCGATGAATATTTATATTTAACATGTAATGAAATTGTATAATAAGGCTTTGATCAAAATCTATATACATTTTAATTACATTTTAATTTTTAATAATTATAAAAATTAAACAACATAAGGATAATTTTGAATTCTTTGATAAAAAATTGATTATTGAATTGATCAAAAGAATTTGATTTAAAATAAATGTTCACTTTTATCACTGATATTCCTCAAGAGGAGGATCCTTCATTTGGATTTCAGAACGAATAGAATGCGACTAGGTGTTTACTATACAAGGGGTGCGGCTCACGGTGTTGTTGAGGTATACGTGAAAAGCAGCCGCGCCCTTTCGTGAATCGTTCAAGCGCGGTGAAATGAAATCACCGAGTTAAGCCGCAGAAGGGCGAGACACAATGCATTTTCTAGAATAGGCAAAAGAACGAACGATAAATAAAACCGAGAAATTCACCCCAACTACAATAAATATATACTATAATAACTCTACAAATATTATGCTTTACATATATATTTATTTCATGAAAATTTAAATAATAAATAATCAATGAATTTAACTGATTAATTATTTATTGTATTACATACTAAATACCAGCGATAATACTTATAAAAGATTAATTCATTATGCATAATTATCGCTTTATAGTAATAGTTTTACCATTAATGTTATCAAGTATTTATTATGCAGTTTATTGACTTCATCATTTTGTAATGTTTTTGGAGTCTCATTAAAAACAATTATAAATAAAAAAATAGGAATATATTAATTTTATTATTCATTTAAAAATAGCTCATTTTTTTTTTCTTTGTTGAATAAAAAAATTAATTTCCACAATAATCATCTTTTTAATTAAATTATTTATTATTCAAATAAAAAATTAAAATGATTGCATAAATTTTAGCTGAATTTAAAAATAAAAATTTAAAAGAATATTTTATCACAATTAATGAAAAAATTTGTTTGCTTTTATGAAAAATGGCTTTTGTATAATTTACGTATGTTTAAAAAATTAATTATTTCATCATAAAAATATAATGATATAAAATTGATTAAAAAAATATTCAATGAATATAATTCATTGTTTTTTTTATATTTTAGCGGAGATTGAATTGTTGAAAAAAATGTGATAAAAAATAAAATTAATAATCTGTGAAATTTTTTGTTAATGGAGATAAGATGGAGATCTTCAGGTAAATTGTTAGAGAAACCTTTACGAGAGATAAATTGTCCATGACAGTCTTCACTTGGGCTGTTTGTCAATGGCGAAACCCGATATCTCGAGGGTTAGAAACAAAAAAGCAATTTGTCAGTCCAAATTGAGAGGAAGAGAGAAAGAAAACAGTCATTGGGGTAGTAATATAAGGGGTGGTCTTTCTAAACGGGGTGCGGCCTAGGGTTAAGGGTATATTTGAACGAGAATTATTTATTCCTTCTTCTTGACAAAACATTGTTGATCGACTTTGGATTAAATGAAACTTTTTCTACTTCTTTGAATGTTTCTGATTGATTTATCATGCTTACCTCAATTCTCTCTTCTTTAAGGTCCACTTGTAGGGCCAGTTGTTCTCTTAACAAGACATCTGGATAATGAGTCTTATCAAAAGTGGCTTCTAATTGTTCTAGTTGTTCTTCGGTGAATATTGTCCGATGACGACGTTTTCTTTTGGTCATTGGACCCACTCCAGGACCATTTGGAAGCTGATAAGGGTGAGTTGGATGGTAAAATGTTGGCTGGGAATGTAAAGATACTCCGGCGGCTGCCATTGCAGCGACGTAACCACTTGGGTAAAGTCCAGGATATGCAGCGGCTGGAATTAAATGTATTTAAAAATTTTTTATATATTTAACTTGGGGCAAGATGGGATTAAGGGGATGCAATTGAGAATTTTATTCCCTGAATATTTTAATTTATTTTTAAAACTAATTCTATTGATAAACATGTTGTATTTTGAGTTTCAATTTTTATTCATCAATTATTTCTTTATTGTTGAAAAGCCAGTTAATTTGAGAATAAACAATTGTATTCTTAATCGAATTTGATGAAAAAAAATTGAATGAATGTTTTACTAGTGTTTATTAATTTTTTTTTTGTCTTGCCCCAAGTTATCCTGCTACTAGAACGAGCAATTATAAAAAAAATTAAATTTCTAAATTTTTAAGACAACATTTGATCAAATGATGACAAAATAAAAAATATACTTAGCCAATATTTAAAAGATTCACAAATTTATATGAGTCAATTTTAAAGGATTAATGTATTAAAGAAATATCTAAGTAAAAAAAGCTAAGGAAAAGAATACAACAACAGTTTTCTCTAGGGAATTATTAGCCTTCAGGGAGTGGTTTTGACTAAATAAGTAAATGTACATTTTTTTATCCTCTTCATTTCTTTTCGCACGTTGAAATTATTGACGCGTATATACATTTTACAAGGGAGAAAACATCCCTTTACGCTTCTCAGAGTCTGAAAAGAATCTCAGAGCGACGCGCGAGGGATTTGCATGAAACACTTTTTTTCCTTTCAAAAGACTTTCTCTTAGGATTTAACCATTCTCATCATAAACATAATACATAATTCACATATACATATATATATATATATATATATCTTAAAAACTCATATTCGATATTAAAATCATCAACTGTCGGCTAAAATAAAACTCAATCAACCAAACAAGCTGATACATACCTAAAAAATCCGCGGGGGTGAAGGCTAGATGATGAAGGTGCTGTTGAAGTGGATGAATAGCTGTGCTCCTTGGTGGTGATCCGACGGTTTCTGAATTGTTTTGAAGAGAAATACCACTGGTACTAGTAGAATTAGGCACACCAACAGGTCTAGGTGCTAAAATACTATCAATCGTAAACAGTGATGTAGGTGAAGACAAAGCTGCTGATGAGCCAGGTCTTGAATTCAACTCTGATCTTTGATACCGCATAGATTCCTCCGGACTCACTGGACTATTTCGGCTGTGTCTAGAGTAACAATCTCTATCCAACTCTCTAGGACCTTTTGGTGTCATTTGTTCAATGTTCTTAAGTTTCTGTTGGATACTTTCTGGTGAATAACTATAGAGATATCGATGATGACTACTTTTCGACATTCCTGGAGTATCTTGGAGGGGTGATGAAGGTTCAGTCATTGGAGAACGAGATCTTGGAGAGTCACCGGCATATGTACTCTCCACCATGATAAAGCCTACTGATTTTTTAAGTTATTTCTAATTTGAATAAAAATAAAAAAAAAAAGCTCTGCTAACAATTGAATTCACTTGCACTTGATGGGTTTGAATTAATTGGTTGATAAACACTTTTAGACACTCAAGTCTGATTTGATGACCTTGATTCCATCCCAACTAGAAATTTAAACGAGCCACAATTAATTCACAAAATCAAGGTTTAACTGATACTTCAATAAATCTTGAGCAGCAGAGATGTTTAACAACATTCAGATTAATGAATTGTTCGTAGACTACTGATAAAATAGAATGAATGTTTAAAAGAAGCTGATGGTGTTGAATGAGAGAGAGTTGATCACTTATGTGCGGTCTCTCTGGATCTCTCGTGGTGGCAGTGACGATGACAAGCGGCAGTCCAACCCCCACGCGATTCTAGGGGAAAATCTACCCTTGTAGATATGAGAAATGACTGGATGATAGGCGTGGCGGGGATTTTTTGGAGCTCCGCCCATATCGCGTTAAAGGAACGATGTGTCACGAATCTCTGCCAGATCCTGCCAGGTCGCTACCCTCCGATCTGGAGGGATCGATAGCTGAGGAACGATAAACAAGTCGTGTAGAAAAAAATCGAGCAACAAATATCAATAATATAATAATGTTTTCATTACTTTTTATTGACCACATTGTTCACATTGGTGTTATTTAAATGATAAAAATTAGTTAAAATCAAAGGAATTAAAAAAATAATGAACTTTAGTTATTATTTCTTCAAATATAACAAAATATTATAGGAAAAAGTTTTTTATTACTTCTGAGCTGATTAAAACTTTACTACTTTTTTAAAATGAATTTTAATAAGATTTAAAATTGTCGGAATAAAAATGTGGATTTTTTTTTTTTCATACTCGTCAACTTTTTTTCATGTAACCATTTGACTTTTGATTATTTCTTCTTATCATTCTTGGAATTTTTCGACATTACTTATCTTATTCTTACATTAATAATGATCAATGAATGTAGTTATAGAATCATTTAATATTAAAATAAGATCAAATAATATAAAAAGTGAATAAAATTTTATCATCACTTGATAAAAAATCAATACAAAATCCTTTCCTCTAAGATCTTATTTTATTAAATAAAAACAACTTATTTCTTCCAAAAGACATTTGAAGGAGAATTTCTAAATGATCTTGAAGGTAAAACACCTATAACTCCATTCCATCTCAATTTCAATCTCAAAACCTTGATGGTTGACCCAGTACCATCACGAGCTCATAATCTTTCCTGAATCGGAATAATTATTATTCAAATGATGTTCTAGCGTGTCAGTATTAATAAAATAAAACCGTTGTAATGCGTATTAATGTGATCCTGCATTTATATATGATACACAAGGGGACTAGAGACTAGTCTTGCAGCGTGATAATGGAGAACCGTCCATGATTCCAGTCTTGGAGGGGAATGTGGAGCGAATAAGGGCAGGTATAACCCTAAATGTGTGTAACGTTTATTCGAGCATACAACGCTCAATGGTACATTTATAGCACATCCCTGATCGACGAAATCTGCAGCGCGCACGAGGCCTCTGATCCTAATCCACGCGTTAATCGCTCAGCTATCCGGCTAGTCGGTCCCTTAAGATTTGTGTTTGCATGGGGGTTATCCCCGTCTAAAGCTTGACAATGCGTTAAATCGACCCAGGGACGACCATCAGTCCTTTTTACTTCTGAATCATGAACTATTCTACTTCATAATACATATCATTTTATCCAGATTACTTTTCATTTGGAGGATCATTTATCCAAAGTGATTATCTATTTTTTTTTTCATTACATAATGTGTTTAGAATTTTCTTTTTATCAGCAAAAATCGATATTTTATCGGTAAATATTTTTATTATTTATTATTATTGATTGAAGAATAGAAAATATACCTCTCCCACTGGGACTGCATATTAGGATTAGGATTATCCTCCACGCAAGGATTATTATTCTTTATTCATTCGGACTGAATTTCACCCGCGAATTGAATCATGTTCACATGATTTGGGAGGATATCCAACGATTTCTGGAAAAATCGAACATTGATCGAGGAATAATATTAAAATTTATTTATTGAAAATAATTTGTCGCTTAAAATGAACCTTGGGTGGGGGGAAATAAGGGAGAGATGTGAATGTATGACAATAATTGAAGGATTTCCAAGTGATATAAAGAAACAGGTAATCCTTCTACCATGTTTGTTGTTTGAATATTTTGATTCCCTGAGGCTTTTTAGGTGTTTCCGTCACAAGATTTCCAATCTTCTCTTTTATTTTTCTTCTTTAAAGTACTATCATTTCTTGGTAAACTCTATGGATATAGAATTGAGATAATCATTTTGAGGATGATAGAGTATAATAGTCAACAATGATAATTGCTGATAAGTTAAGAAGCAGGTAACATTAAGGAGATAAACTTTCTTTTAATTAAAGATATAATAAATTTTAAGAGAGAAATTGATTGCAAATAAGATTTTTTTCACAAAAAAATGGTAAAAAAAAAGAAATTGAAAGAAATAATGATAAAATATTAATAGAAAAAATCTGAAAATAGAAATGAGATAATTGACATAAGTATCGGTTTCTAGTTTAGCTCTAGTGGCTAGTCTTTTTTGAATACACTCGAGTATTTTTCCACCCTGCCTGAAGAATTAAACTTGCAAGGCAAAAAGGCGTATTCAGTCAAATGAGAAATGTTCAACTAATAAGTCTCTTCTTCTGCATTCAACCTTGTGTTATAAAGAATCATCGACAGGTCCTTTTTCGACTCTTGTCTTGCTGAGTCTTTACCATCAGATACCCCGTTGTTACTGCTGGGACATCCACTTAGCACGCTGCTTAAACGTGAAAACATCTGTATTGTTATCGGGTTAGAGTCGGAATGCTTTGATGAATGATTACTGGAAAAATATAATCCAGTCTCAAGTATGGAGTAAAAGAACCTGTAATATTTTTCTGAGACTCAGAAAACAATCAAAAGTCAATAGATTTTATGGTATTAAAAAACCTTTTCTCATTATTGATAATTAATTTTTGTTTCATTGAAATATTCAAACTTTTTGGAGTAAATTATTTGTAATAATTTTTTTTAAATTATATTTTAACTTTTCTTCAAAGAAAATTTTTAAAAAATTGATTAGTAAAAAGAGGATAATTTTTTATTGTAAATTTTTAAATGATATTAAAAGAAAAAAAATTATCATCAACATACGACTGAGTAGTTTTAATGGTGGAGTGTTAGGGTGATACTTGTTTACACATTACTTTGATGAAGTGTCACGTAAGTCACGGTCTGCTCTTACTTATTTGATTAGAGATAATTAAATAATGGGTATAATTGTAGAATAAACAAATAAACACCGAGATAAAAATTTTTATTTCTCAATTCCTTAAAGATTATCACTAAGATCAATATTTGTCTTTGTCGAGTTCAAAGGATCCGTCTCTTCTTCTTATTCATCTCTTGAGTACAAGAAAATTCAATCGACTTTTTTCAATCCAGTTATTATAAAAAAATAATATTATTTAATTAAAATAAAAAACATTTTAAGAATATTGATAATTAGTATGGTTTATTTTTTGAAGTCAATTTAATCTTGTAGGATTATTAGTTTTCTTTATGGAATATTATGAAACAAAATAATGAGTAATGTATTATTTAAAGTGTTCTGAATATGCAATAAAATTGATAAATTTAATACAAGTAATAAAATGAAAATAATTGAAATGAATAATAAATATAAACTATAATTGATTTTATTATTATTATTTTGTTCGGTTGACAAAGCACTGAGATACTGCTTTGTACTTTAATTACTTGAATAATTACATCACTGAATGTTGATCAGAAACGCGTAATATGTACATCGAGTTGGATATAAATTACGAGAGGGTATAACGAAGTGAATGGCATTGCGTTAGATCGTTACGCCAATTAATTTTCCATAATTGAAAGCGTGAGTTGGGAGATATATATTTGCTGGTCTGTGGTGTCTATTTTGTTTTCCGTGTTTTATATCCATCCAAACCTGCGAGGGTAACCCGCGGAGATCTCGTTAGTCGCGGTTGCTCTTGCATACACCGCGTATATTTTTGTCCAAAAGCAATTAACAGTTTTCATCTACTATATCTTTTTCAGATTGCACTTGCCAACGGCAGAAAATTTATAGCAAAAATTACTGTTTCCAATTGCTGACGTATCTCTTTGAACCTTCAAGCTATAAAAATATGTTGAAATATTTTTGAGTAAATATTCATATCTTCGTAGGTAGCAATCAAATATTCTCATGTATTGGTTTGATCACGTTTTCCTAATGTTATTACCTCATTACTACCATAGAATTAACCATTACATAAACAATCAGTACATGACCCTGGTCTTATCTAGACCTGAATATACTCCCTCATAAGTACCAATGTGTTTACGAATCAATAGACATGACATGACAAAGCTAATTACATTTAAAAAAAGACTACGAGACTGATTTGCTTCAATTAATTCATTTATTTATAATTGTGTAATCGTTTAATATCATTTTTGTGAATAATAAATCTTTATTTACTTTTTAATTTGATGAAGAAATTCAAATCAAATGAGATGGAAAAATTGATTTGCTAGAATTTGATATTTTTGTCTAATGTTTTATTTGAATTATTATTATTTTTTGATTGATACACCTGTCAAATTATTTTATTCATTTATTTTTAACAATCGTGAGACTATTATAAAACTAATTTTAAAAAAATAAAAATGTCCTCTCTTTTATTTTTATTATAAAAAATATATTGAGATAAAACAAATCTAAAATACAAAAATGAAATAGATTTGTTCTTAACCAAGAAAAAAATGAGTCAATGAAAAAAATTTATAGCTGTAGAGACAATACCGTACCCCTTAAATTAACTTATAGAAACTATTTTTTATAGTAATGAATAGTATTATTATTATTATTATTAAATAACGTTAATATTATCGTTTTATAATCAGAGATGAAAAAAACTGTAATCTAAAAATCATTTAAAATCTGTAAAAAAATATTCACTTCGCCCAAGAATTATTCTTACCCTATTATTACCATATAGCTAACTATTACTGAAGACTCTAGATTGATGCTGGGTTTAAAACTAAAATTATTAGTGAATAAAATCATTTTAAAAAAATACAGTTTTGATAACAATAATAATTCTAAAGCTTCGAATAACTCATTGTAGCAATAACCGGATACTCAAAACTTGTCTGTGATATCTATTGAGATAATATGTTATCTCAACATTTTAGTGGCGCACCACAGACTGACTCTCACTACTTACGTATCACTCAACGACTTCTAATTCTATCGATTGTTGATTCAGTGGTTCGCACGATGGGGTTTTCATGTTATAGAGAGATTACTAATGTTTTTTTAAGCTCACTCACCCTCAAAAAACCATCCCCCAGCCCCTAAGATTTAACAATTTTTCCATTTATCCCCTTCATAAGAGAGAGAGAAAGAGAGAAAGTGTAAGGGTAGTAAATGATATAATTTTATTGCAATCAAATGAACTGCAGTCTGACTAGTATATAGGATGAAGAGAATGAGATGTTAAAAATACGAATGGAAGGTAATCTCGATAGATTTTCTTTCTCTTTTCCCTTTCCATACTGTTCGCAGATTATTCTATTACAAGCAGTGTCAACAGAAATGGAGCTTTGGGTGAGCAAGTGAGGTAGATAGTGTGCCCTTTTTGTGCTTAAATAAAAGAGAGAGAATACCGCACTCGATCTTGTTTAGTTTGAAAATACGTCATTGTTTCAGTATGATAAAAAATTCAACGCTCGGGTAATTACACTTGGGATCGATTGCCGCCTCGAGGGTATTTCCACTGGGTTACTGACTTAGGGGTGGTCTTTTCCATGGATATCCGTCGATGCTGGTACACGATCTTCTTTATCGATTTACATATTAAAAGATTCCATCTACAAAAAAAAGTTCTTTTCTTATTTATATCGATCTTCTTATAAATCAATATTGATCTTACTAATAATTATTTTTTTCTAAAAAAGGACAATCTTTAAATCTATTATTTTTATTCAATTGATTGCAAACACCTGTGATATTGTTTATAAATCATTGTTAAACGTTTATTGATCATTTGGATGATTAGATTTTTAAGAATTAAATTCAACATTTGTGATAAAAAATCATTGATAATAAATAATGGTAAAAATATTTTACTTCAATGATTTCTATCGTTTTTTAATCAATTGTCCAGCAGAACTTTATCCTGGCAAATAATCCACCTAAGCTCAAAAATAGTAAAACACTTTTTAAAAATTCGCCCGTGCGTACCAGCTGTGGCTCTCTTTGAGACATCATCTCCACACTACAGTATCCATGTATCTTTATTCATTCTACTTAGATTTGTGTTACTTTTTCGTTCAATCCTGCATCAGTTGCTCTCATATGTCTCTGAATAGAACAAGTAATCCCATTGATAGATACATAACACATCAGAAAGAAGCAGAAGGGGATGAAATAAGGAAATAGAGGCACGGAAGTAAGCCAAGAAGAGTAAAAGGAGTGAGAAGAAAGTTGAAAAAAATATAAAAAAAATGATTGGGTTCTGTTCTCTACTGAAAGCAAAGAGCTGTTTGCCTTTTATTAAACTCTTGTTAAACGCTGCCTTTCTTCGTGCACACAATTGAATCGGCAAAACAGCGGAGATAATGCTAAGATTTTTGGCCTCACGAGATTGAACTGACAGAAAAACCTCAATAGCTTTATCTTTTTTCCTCAATCTATTGTATCCTCTTGCCGGCTGAAATGGACACCGTGTAATCGCCCTTTTATATGACGCTGCTTTTACCTGCGAGAAAATATATCTATGCCCTCGTGACTGCTAGAAAAAAGCTTACAGGTATGGTCTAGCTTATAATAAGAGGTGGTCTTTCCACTTATGAAAGTTGTATGTATATATAATAGTACCCCTCGAATTTGCTTGAATCAACGCCAAGTATATTTCCTTATTGTGTTAAACGATCGACGAGAAATAGTGGCCAATGAAAATATTTGGATGTTTGAAAAATAGACGTTCACCCACGAAAATTTAACAAAATAATCCCTTACTGTCCAAACGAGATGATACTTATACTAGTGAAAAATATAGATGCTTTATGTGAACCAAAGATTTCATGCATCAATGATGGAAAATATTTCTATTCTCACGAAAATATGACAGAATTTGAAGCTTTAGGACTCCAAAATGTAGTTATAGAAATTTTTTAAATTACAAATTTTATTTATTTATTCATATAAATTTCAGACCTATCATATTCTAAAAGTACTTATTTTATTTATCCAATTACATCAACCTCTTATAATTTATTCATCTGAATTATATTCATCATTTCGGTGAATCATCAAATTGAAAAATTCTACATGCAGAGGCTACTTATTTTTATTACCAAATATTATCAATTGTAAATTTATTAATAATTATTTGTAATTTTACTTATTCTTATTTATATTCCATTCACCTCAATTCCACCAAGTAAAAATTATTACTCCAATAAGTTCAGTCGAATTTTAATCTAATTTAATGTTACACAAAATATAATTGATTTTGAATACATTGTAAGTAATCTTAATTAACAAATCGAAAATTTAAACAATGAAAGAATTCGTTTTACGGTTATTTGTTTTTTAACATAATAGCGGGTGATGGTGAACACAAATATCATACAAGAAAAATCTTTATTGCATTGATAAAACACGTACTGCATTCAATAGAAATTCAAAGATGGAGATATGTTTACAAGTACTGCTTATAAAAAATATAAATTCGCTACACTTAACGACCACACCCGTCTCTGTAAGGATCAATTATTAGCAAGGTCGTGCACAATTTGCATCGTATGCAGATTTTATGATTTTATAAAGTGGGAATACATGATTATTCAAATATTTTTGCATAAACGTATATTTTTTCAATAAATGACACACATTTCAATGTATGTATACATATATACTTTCCAGCGATATGATTTTCTATCAGTTATTGAAAGTAATTTATGACTTTTTTATTAATATATAATCAGGCTAATTACGCAAACAATATCACTTTGCTTCTCTATTATTTTTTTTTATATTTTCTCCACTCGTTTGTTGTTTACTTCTTTTAAGAGCAGATTTTTTCATTTAACTTCCATCAAGTTTATTATGAAAATGGACAAGTTAACAGAGATCCGATTATTATAATTGATTAAAAAACCAAATGAGAGGGACGCAAACTCTTGAATTTCATTCTACGTGATTAACATCATTCGTTATTAATTGACTAGGAGTATAAGGGTGTTAATGAAAAAATAAATATCAAAGTAAAATAGATACGAGATTACTGAGTAAAGAAAAATTGATGTTACTGCTAATAATCGCTTTAAAAAATACTCAATGTTTATCCGCCCAAAAAGTCGGACTCAATATACATTTATACATCTATATATTATGTAAATATATTGATAATAAACGGGAAAGAGTAAAAAATACATATTGAAAGAAAATTTATCCCTCAGAAAACTTATTTATCACTCAAAGACATATTTAATAATAATAAGTTTCATTATTACGTCATAAATTCATCTACACATTTTAATTTTTTTTTTGTTCATATAAAAATACTTTCTTGTCAGTATATGAGTTCTGCATATATCAATTACAATAATTGTAAAGTTGATTTACAGCAGCATTGAAAATAATAAAGTATATTTTTAAATCACTTTGTAAATCGTGTATAATTATTTACTTGACATATAATTAAAAACTGTTTGATCATCATTGAAGGAAAGAATTTCCTTTATATTGTTGAGTCTGAAATTTAATATTGAAATTTATCTAAATGCAATATTTCTCGTATAATAAAATACGAGATTCTTATTTATCCATTCATAAGGTACAGATTCAGACATTTTTTCAGAGGTAAAACTCTATTGGGAACACTTTTTAGCAGTATACTGTTTTGTTATTTTTTTTTTAATCTTATTTTTTCAATTATTTAAAAAAAAAACAGAGACGAAAAATTTGATATAAAGACCAATATAAACACTTCTTGACCTACAAAATTTTTTGTTTTACTTTGAGCGAAACATACTTATAATCTACATTCCTAAATACTATAAACTCGAAAGATATAATTCGTATTCGACCTCGTCTCGAAACCAAAAAAAAAAAAGTATGAAGAATTTAAAAGCTTTCAAGATCAATATGCTTTACAAAGTATCGATAGATTATTGAGTATCCTATTGGAAATTGTATATTAAAAACCAATAAGACCCGCTTTTGGTAATTTGAATGGATAACTTAATATTTTATCGGTTCTTTGCTGAAACAGTCTCTTCAAAACAGGCATAGCTATTTATTCGCCATTTGATAGCTTTTTCAGCTCCTTATTTATCGGTTTAACTGAGAAAAAAATTTACTTTTAAACAAAAAATTTTATAAATATCTTTCTAACTTTAAAAATGATGAAAAAATAATATTTAATTATTTTAAAATAAATGAATAATGTTATTAAAAACTTTGCATCCAAAAATTTTTTCATGATTCTTTTAGTTTGTTGACATAATAAATAATAATTTTTTTTCTCAGTACGTAATTATAATAATAAACTAGAACTAACATTAAAATTAAATCAAAATTATAATCTACGCAGAAGTTACATGATGGCAATCGAAAACTTATTTAAGAAACCAATGCTTGTGGTTCAGTGAATGACATTTCCATCGTGACACCTCCACTACTACGTCTGTAACGATTAGATATATCAACACTGTTACTCCTTGGCTTACGTCTACTCAGATGTCGTTCTACCCACTTCAACATTGTCAATACCGAATCTGTACTTGGCAATCGTCTTTCCGCAGAAGTACGAACTATGTGGGAAGAAGTAACGCGGAAAGTCGCAGCCATACCTTTGAGTGCCTAAAAATATATAAATCGTGAGTTTTTTTTGGACAAACACAAATTACATAAGTTATTATTTAGTAGGAAAGATAAAGAAAAATCTAACCTTCATCGCATCTTCATCTGTTGCGTCATCACCAGCGTAAATAATCCTAATCCTTTCACTCCAGTCAAGACCAAATGCTGTTCGTAAAATATAAATGGAAGCACGGCCTTTGTTCCATTCTACCGGAGGTTTAGCCTCAATAGCACAGTGAGCACCACACGCCTTGAATCCAGCTTCTTCAATCAACTTTTTAGCTTGTTCGATCATTCGTGGTCTCAACTCCATTGGAGTTTCACGGTAGTGGAACGTCAACAAAGCACCTTTGTTTTCTACCCAAGCACCGTCTTTGCATAGCTAAAATTGTAACAAATAAACATGTTCTATATATTTATTAAATAAATATTAACAAAAAATCTTTCTTTAATAATTTAATTATAAAAAAAAGGTTTATTGTTATCTCTGAATAATAAATTCTATTCTTCCAGTTCTATTTTAATATAAGAAGGTTAATTCTCATTAAAATAGTTGAAAATCTTTTCAATAGTTATACCTGGTCTTGAAGAGCCTGCATCAATCCACCAACTTTGCCTTCATATTCAACAGGCATAGGATGAACAAATTTACTTCCATCAGGATGTAAAATTTCTAGCCCATGATTTCCTGCATATGTTATACCATCGATACCAACCATTGATTTAACATTATTGACATTTCTTCCTGATATAATAGCAATATAAACGTCTGACATATTGCTCAGTCTTTGAAGAACATTCTTTGTTTCAAGCGGCAAAATCGCAAGGTCTGGATGAGTTGCAATAGGTGCTAAAGTACCATCATAGTCAAGAAGTAGTGCCAGCTTGTGATTGTCTCCAATATACCTACAAAAAATTATCAATATAAATAAAAAATCGTTGATTCATTTCTTTTATGGATTTTGTCACGATAATTCGTGTTTCTTTCTTGTTATCGCTTTTTTTTTTATTATCATTATTATTGGAATGGCTCGTATCTTCAATTTATTTCATCGTACATAGTTATCATTCATTTATCCACGCATTGTCGTACCCTACTCTTATTTAATTCATAAGATTTATTTATAATCTAATGTAAAGACAAAACAAAATTTTTATTTATGAATCGAAGTAAATTATCATGAATCAAAATATTCTTGTTCCAATGAATAAATACAAAAGTAACATTTAAATTTCTTCTTGCGTCTAGTATACGATAAGGAAAAATTTTTTTTAAACACCTACCCCATTGGTGCTTTATCGATTGAATAATGAGAAATTACCTGCTCAAGTAATCATCAAAGTCGTCCATGGTTACAGGTTGCATCACCGTGGCACCGACTGAATCTCGTTCTTCTAATGAGCCCATAACTTGTAGGAAGGACTTCATCCAATAACTAACATCATAAATTCTCTCTCGTCGTCGTAAATAATTCATTCTCAGAGTACGTTCATCTTCTGGCATCGTAAGAGCTCTAAATGGCGAAAATATTAAACAACAAATGAGTAAGCCATGGACGAAAAACATTTAATGTCATAAAATTAAGCAATAATGGAAATTATTGATTATCAATAAATTTTGTTCACGGTAAAAAATTAAACCAATTATTAAACTCGATCAACAAAATAATTGTGTAAGGTCAACAGAGAATATTAAAGGGTCGCTGGAATTTGTATCAGAGCATCAAATTCAGTACTCAATAATAAATTCAATAATGAAATTTCGTCAAAGCATCCTGAATTTTTAAATAAAATCAAGCAGTAAATAGAAAAAAAATTACCTATGAATAACTTCTGCTGCTTCATCAATCTCATACGGATTACAAATTAAAGCTTCATGCATCATTTCTCCAGCACCAGCAAACGGAGAAACAATTAAAACACCTGGTGGAGTATTTATTTGACAAGCTACAAATTCTTTTGCAACAAGATTCATTCCATCTCTCAAGGGAGTGACAAGTGCAACAGCAGCATCGCGATAAAATGCAGCCAATTCATCTTGACTTACACAACCATAAATATAACGAATAGGTGACCAATTGGGAGTTGTAAAGCGTCCATTGATAGATCCAATCAGCTGATCCATTTCTAATTTTAACTCTTGATACTCTCGGACATCTGTTCTTGATGGCACAGCAATTTGGAGCATCGTAACTTGTTCACGATGTTCTGGATGCTTTTCAAGCAACATTTCAAAAGCTTTCAATCGATGAACTAGTCCTTTAGTATAATCCAACCGGTCTACACCCAAAACTATTTTTTGATTCGTCATAATCACTTTTGGAGCTGTTTCAGCCAAAGAAACGAATCTGTCGAAAGGAATACCGATAGGTAAAGGTCTTACTCTTACTGTTCTTCCACCATGATCAACTAGTAGATTTTTTCGATCAACTCTGCCTCCAAGACACCTTTGACAACAGTCTACAAAGTTTAAACAATAATCCTGGATGTGAAAACCAACCATATCACATCCCAGCATACCCTGAAGAATTTCATCTGCCCAAGGGAAAAGTCTGAAAATATCCCAGGGTGGGAATGGAATGTGGAGGAAGAAACCAAGCTTCAACTTTAAGTCTTTTTCATCAGCTGCCTGTCTTATCCAATTGGCAGCCAACATAAGGTGATAGTCATGTACCCATACTAAAGGTGTACCATTTGATTGGTTCTTTCCTTTTTGCTCTTCATGAATCTTTTCTAAAGCAGCTACAGTTTTTGCAGCAAATTCATCGTTTACTGCTACGTAAGCACGCCAATGTTCAGCATTAAAAGTAGCTCGGTCAGGCATTGAGTGGAATAATGGCCAAAATGTTCCATTACAACATCCATTGTAATAAGCATCAAAGATATCAGGTTCTACATGGACAGCAACAACCTGAAAAAAAAATATTCATCAATATTTTTCATCACTCAGGTTTCAACAATTGCTACAACAAACAAAATATTAGATAGGCAATGAAATTTAAATAGGTTTAATTTCCAGATAGATTTGTTTGAATGAGCAAATAAATATTTAAGTTGTCTGGCCTTCAACAAATAGATTTATGATTCAAGATAACTATTAATATTCAAAATAAAATATGAATTATAAAGATGGATTATTATAATTTTATTATAATTCATTGAATAAAAAACTTTGGTCAGTACCAGTTGTTTTAAGATTTTCTGCAATTATTAGAAACATCATAAAATATTGAAATTAATATTTTTCTGTGATTTAATTCTTATAAGTGATAATATTTATCACTGGTCATGCCAAGGGTAGAGTAAAATGGAGAAAAAAAAAGTCATGGGCGGAGTCGAAAAAAAAATCAGGACGTAAAGAAAACAGATTAAGACTCCCCTAATCGGAAGTGAATAAAGTCCAGCATAATAACAGTGATATTAAATCATATTTTTTGAATTGTTGAGTCTCGTGACGTTACTATGACCCCCCATGCATTGCAACTACTTAAATACCGCCATCAATTGCCTATTATTTATCATAATGAAATTATCTGTTTGTTTATAATATGATAATTAGTATTTCTTGACTGTCATTGGACAAGAATGAAGAGGATGGGGCTCGTCATAATGATTAAATGCAATCTTGTCACATAAGATACGTTAATTGTTTTGCAACGATGTATGTATATTTCAACTTTTATAAATATGAGAGTACAACTTGTTGTTATCATGGTAAATATGTCGATGTTATAGAAAATCAGGTCGTGACAATAACAGACATACAAAGACAATTGTAGTGATGGAATAACAGCACAATTAAGAAAGAATTCTCAACTCTACAACTGATGGTCTTACAAAGAAGGAAGGTGATCGACTGACCTTTGACTTGCATTTCTGATCAATAAAAAGATATAGTTTAACATGAATAAACTTGAGGTCTTCTCTTACCAATTTATTTATCATTTATTTATTTATTTTTTAATATTATTTTTTGTTTCATTTTTTCAAAACACTGAGAACATCATTACGAAGAATCATGTCAGCCAGTATAAATCATATGATAAATAATCTCAACCTCAATAATTAATTATCAACTTTCTAAAAGAAAAAAAATCATTTTCATACATATATCTATCTTATTTTTCTTTTCAAAAGTTGAAACAAAATTTTTTCCTAAAGAACTCTTTTTATTATTGTTAGAAAGTTCATCTCTAAGTTGATATCTTTGATATAGGAGAAAAATTCCATTGAATTAGAATGTCGAAATGAAGAGCTGCTTTACTATCAGTAGAATTTTTGAATAAATTTATTTCAGCAAGAACACTAGACCATAAAATAGAGTCAGAAAAAACTGGAGATATCTAGATTTGTGGAGATTTAAAAAAAAAACGACAAGTTTTAATGTACGTGAGGAATGCACGATAGTATTGCGTGCTTATAGGGTGCTGTATCAATGATAACCCGACCCTGTCAAGGCAGTGATCGTGATTTCTACTTTCATTTTGACCGTATGGTTAGATTTACAGGTCAGGTCTCAACTGTTTGACATCATAAAGTCATCAAAGTTTACAATTCAAGTTTTTGAACGTAAATTCTTCTAAAGAAAAAAAAAAGTAATTAGAAATTATAAAAAGTAAAATATGATATAAATAACGAAGATATTGAAATCGTTGTTATCAATTTAATTGATGCAAAAGTTAAATGATGATCACAGCTTAATTAATCACTTTATTATCTTTTATTTACTATTTATTGCGGAAAAAATTTTTAAATAACTAGAATAAATGCTGAATAGTATCCCAGACAAGAAACTAATCATTGTTTGAAAGAATGTTTTTAATTCAAAGGGTATTCGTTATATCTAGCTTAACTATTGAAAAAGTTTTTAATTTCAACAATGTAATAATCATCAGAATAATCTCTTCGTTATTCAATAATCGAGAGCTTATATTAGTAATATTATATCATTCAATTCAATGATATGATATAGACAGAGGTAACACGTGAGCAGAGAGTGATAATTATCTGCATAGACATTGTTTTGAAGAGACTTTTTGTGACTCATTTATGACACTTCTTAGGCTGTGATACTCTAAAAAGTCATTCTAATCTATCACTTAGGTCTTAGATGCTAAAATGACGTATCAGGGACATTTAGACTAAAAGTATTTTCATTCTTCAACACAATCTGATGATACAATCCAATGACAACTTATTTATACTTGCAATCTAATTATTTATATAGCAATAATTAGAAATGATTTATAAATATCATGACTTATTTTTATATTCAATTCATTTGCAAACGTTTGATCTACGTTTACCCCAATTATTTTCATATTGAAAATGTATCCAATGTTAAGGTCATGAAATTCAATCATTACTGGTAACAATTCTTATTGTTACAGAAAAAAAGTTATTTATAGAGAGCAAATAAATGAGAATTTAAATAAAGAATGAACGCCATCGATATGCCAATCTGTGTTGATATCATTGAACCTTATTCTACTGATCTTGTTCTAGTTCTATATTAATAATATACAACCTAGTGAAGGTTATTAAGCATAGCTCATTTATAGAATTATTTATTTATTGAATAAAAATTAATATTTCAGGTAAAGCAAATTTTCCATGACAGTTAAACATAACTTATCTTATCGAAAGATAAAAGAAAATGAGCCATGTGTGTGTCAAACTACATATTTAAATGAATCAATTTAAATATTCAAAGTCATGGAAATTATGATTAATCTCACCTTACTCGAAAGTAAACCAGCAGTAGGTGTTTTATCATTAGGATCAGATTCTGGAATTTTCTCATTGGGATCTTCCATGTGCATCCCAGGCCATCCGACCCATATTCCATTACCACCTATTACTACTGGAGCTACAGCAGTAACCAAGCCTCCAGCACTGAAACATCAATAAAAAAAAACAAGGTTGAATAATATTGAAAAAATAACTGATAAAGTTAATTTAAAGTGTTGTTATTGTTTTTATGTAATAAAATTTAATTGAAAAAGTACCAATACCAACATGTTTTAAATCTTTGACTTTCCTCTCGGTAATTGAAAAAATAATTGTAAAAAAAACAATCAAATTATTTGATAGAAACTATTCTAAACACAAATAAAAACAATAAAGATTACTATTGATTGTAATTAAATGTGAAAGCTTCGATAATAAACTATAGCAAAAATTAACACATTCCTGTCAGACAATTGTTTTCAAGAATGGTCTAAATAATTGTATAACAAAAACAATGAATTCAATTCATCATGTGTAACTGTCATCGACAAAATAAGATGATAATAATATAATGATCCAAGCCAGTGAGCTAAGTTGATTAATTTTAGATAAATTTTTTAAAAACCAAAAATAATAACATACCTGCTTTTACGTTCTAATTGGCCAGTTTCCTCATTTCTTTTTAGCACGAAAGGCAACCTGTTGCTTACCACAATCATGCTCCCATTTGAGGAATATGATCTTGACTCTGTAGGCATGATGAAATGAAATATAATTAATTCTTTCAAATAAAAAATCACTCTTATTTGTTTATTTGTCAGAATTGATTCTGAAAAGCTCCTGGAAGCACGATTTCACCGAATCTATACTTGAATCGATGAATTATCTTAATTTTTTCACTTTAATCGTTGGCTAAAGACCCATGTCTGCTAATATGTTGATGAATTCTAAGATAAATCAGAGATCAAATCAATCTTTAATGATTGCAAAAGATGAAGAAACTGATATTAAAGAGAGTAGTAATGTTAATTGAAGGAAGAAGTAGATGTTGTTAAGAGAAGATAATGAGTGCAGTCGGAAGTACCGAAGAGTACTGAAGAAGCAACGGCTGGGACACGTTAGTTTATTCGTATTTGTCGAGACGACGAATTGGTCCAAAGTGCGCTTTCGCGGATGGTATCGATGGAGGCCACGACCCGGGAGCATCATCGTCATCATCATCAGCATCGACATCATCCCTTACTCCCCTCAGACTCTCTATCCGCAAAAGTCCACCACCCCCGTTTCGTTTCTCATACACACCGACCCCATGGGTTATCTGTATCACTTAATTTAATGATAGAAAAGTCTCGCGCACGTTCATCTTATTTTAATGAGACACTACCGCGCGAGTAGAAAGCACGTCAATAATTTACATCGCCAACATTTATGAGCTGCTTACAATCGAGGATATAAATTGTCAAAAAATGATAGATAATTTGGCGGTTGACTTTACAAGTATTATCATCAAAGTTTCGAAAGAAACTTAATCATTTCTACGTAATTCATCGACTAGTTTTCTAAATTTTTCACTCAATTATTATATAATTTTTATCATTTTTTTTCTGGCATTTCTACAACGTTCAGGACATGATTTTTCAATCTAGAAAAAACATTATAAAAATAACTCCCATAATGATTATTATTGATATAACTCTTGAAAGCTCTATTACAACAACTGTGTGTTGCTAAGCTACCTTTAGAATTAATATATACAATACTTGAGATTTTTATTCCTCCACGAAATAACTATCTTTACGTGTTCGTTATACCCATAAAAAATTATTCTCTTGAATAAAGTGAAAGAATAAAAAAAAAAAAAAATAAACTTTTAATTTTTGTTTTTATTAATAAATGTCACATTAGTGACCTCAATATGATAATAATGATATAAGAACAACACACGTCTATCAAATTTTACTAATTGATTTTATTATTGAAATAGGTAGTTTTTATTTAAAATCTTTTTTTCTCATCAAAGTAAAACTGACAGCAGTATAAAATTTAATTACCTGTTGATATCGATTGTTAATAAAATTAATTCTACTGCTATTCTTTAAAGATAGGTACCAGAAGTATAAGGACTGATAATATAAGAAGTTCCACGTGTCAAATGCGTGGTATTGCATAGAAATATTAACTAGAATTATTGCAGATAATCTTCTGAATCATAAGTTATTATTATTAAAACCTAAAAATTTAATATTTATAGCTTAATAATAATTAATTCCTTTGTTTGCAGTTTCAATAGAAACTACTTTAATAACAATAATACGTAACATTTCGAAGATTTACAGATGCTTTGAAAATAGTTTTTAGACTACGTAATGAGATACAATGTTGATAGCTTTGATAATAGGTACCGTTACTAGCACGAGGTTACCTAGCTTTGACTATATTATACCGGTAAAAGAAGCCGGTACTTACTAGCAAAATAATAGATTACTTTTGAGAATACGAATGAACTAAAAATATCATAAATCAATTAATGATTGATTTAATTGACGCAATTGACCTTTGAGAATCAATCGAGACAATATTGTTTAAGTCAATTAATTGAAAAAAATGATATCTCTATGATAATTAAATGAAAACGTTTGTGCTTCGTCTAAAAAAATACTACGCACATCGTGCAAGAATAAACGTTTGTTGGACGTTCAATTGAGTAATAGTAAGAGAATAACAAAAACATTCATGCTTCAGAGCTAAAAATATTCATTAATATTTTTAAGTTTTTTTTTTTATTATACATACGGTCAGTTCGAAGTCTGCTGCTAACTGCTCTAAAAGCACTATTGGGTATTGTTCCTTCAGAAGTCATTTATGAATTTGTAATCAATAAATTGTTGACAGGATAATTTTTGATGGACTCTTTTTAATTTCAGTTTTAGTTAAATTAAATATCCTCCTGCAGTTCAATAGATAATCTGCGAAATTAGTTTTTGGCGTTGGCTGAAAATTGGCTGACACAATTTTTGCTTCAGTTAAAAATACTCGTATGAATTAAAAACGTTCTCTTTATACTATCAACGATAAAAATATTTTGAGTTTCTCTATATTTGATATAGAGAATGTTTTATGCAATTATTGCTGAAATACTGATCAAATACTGGCAGATTAAGACCAATTGATCAAAAACGATTGATCGTAAATTCCAGAAACTTTGAGAATGTCACGTGCCAGAAAATTTTTTCCGAACACTAAACCCGTACCTTTGACAATGGTATACTGAAGCTAGGGGAAAAACCAGTCAGGGGTTAGGCGCGGTGCATTTCACCAGCTTGGTGGAACACAGTGGTACCTTAGTTTCAGGTAGCGCCCTCATATTATAATGTATATAAAGAATCTGCGATTGCGCAATTATTTTACTACCAAAATTGAACTGGTTTAAAACGATCATTTACAGGATTTAAGATGTATTTTTAAGTTTTTTATCTTATTAATGTGATCCACTTCAGTAAATCACCTTTCATGATTGCATATATATTTTATTAATTATTATAAATGCTAATTCAGTTTTTTATTTGAAATATAAAAAACTTAAGTATAAGTCTAGGTTGAGAATAATCTTTTAATGTAAAGATTCTTAATTGAATAATCATTAGACTATAAATAACAATTAATTTTGTGATTAAGATATTTATTTAGAAATAATTAGAAATATTAAAACATCAAGAACTTTTTATTCTCCTTAAAGACAAGAAGCCATAAGTCCAGCAACATTTTCGAAATCGATTTTTTCGGTAATATTCTTTGTTTTTATGTTCTCATCTTGATTAGCTATGAAAATAACATTTTTACTCTGTTCTTGCCATCCGTACTTTTTAACCCAATGTTTCAATGTTGATTCTAAAATGATTGAAATATATATTAATTTTCAGTCTGCTTCATTCCAATAACATTTTAATTTAAAAATAAATAAATGTTTACCATCAACACTGCCAAGTAATTGAGCTAAAAGATTTTTATCAATTGTTTGGAATGTAATTCCTACAACATGACATACAAATTTCCTTATTGAATCTTGGAAGCCAACAATTTTATTGCAAAGCTCTGACATTGACTTTACTCTATTCCAGAAATGTTGAAAGTCACACTGCTCCAAAATATCTCCAAGGTAAATTACTTGATTAATTGGATCTTCTTGCATCTAAAACAATAATTCATCTATGTAATATACATTCATAATAAAAAATAGTTTTATTCCGCAAGTATTTAATCTAACGCATTTCGATGCATACTTACGATATTATCATTGAGCAGACATTTACAAAGGACGAAATCAGTATGTGGTAGGTTCGTTAAGGCTTTCAATAATATTTGACACGTTATATCAACTTTAAACCTTTGAGGATTGAGCTGATATAACTTGAGAACTGCCAAGTTAGCCTCGAGGTCATATGCATTTTCCCTCGATTGAATTTCTACATACTGTTCCAAAGTAGGTAAATTTTCTGGATTGTATCTTGAAAAGAAATTAATATGTAATATTATACATTTAATAATAATTAATACTAAGAGTAATAAAAATAAATCTTTCAAGATAACCTCTAAAAGCTAACACAGGTATTTTTTGTTTACTTGTAAATTTTATACATATTTTTTACGTAAATATTTACCTTTCAATACTTTTAAGCATTCCAGCAATATTTTGACGCATAGCTTCTGCCATTTTTACTATATTATCTATATAAATATTATAAATTAGCACAAAAACTTGCAAAAATACTCAATAAGTGAAAAATTAGAAGAATAAGGTTATGTTAAATAAAACACATGACAGAATAAAACCATAGATCAATGGCGTCTGCGTTTTCATGTAATTCCTGTTCTATTGACTTACGGTAAATAAAGAATTTATTATCAACAACAGATATGAAAAATATTTTGTTCTCTGCTGTCAAGTCAATAAGAATAACAGAAGAAAGAATGCCCCTGCCAGGATTGGATATAAGCAGTTACGATATGTATGATATATTATTCAAGATAAACTTTACGAGCAGTAATTTTATTTCAAAATAAAAGCAATTAAATTTAACAACAAAGATTAAAAATTAGGAATTAATTTTAAATTTTACCCCACTTCCTTATCTACTATATACTAGTTTCTCTTTTCTGCTTTAGCCCAGCCTCAAAAAATTCTAGATAAGAAACTTGATATGAAAACCGATGGTTTTTGCAATTGGACGGTACTCAGAAGGTACATACAAACTAGTTATCAACAGAGTTGCAAGTACATTTCTTTGTTCCGGCAGAGCACATTCGCGTAGTACTCATTTTCGCCACACATTCCTGTGTCAGGCTACGAGTAAACCATGCGTGCTTGTCAGAAAGATGGCGGCTACTTCGTACAGTAATTGTATTCAGTGAAAAAGTGATGTTAATTAATGTTTTCTAAGAGTTAATTTGTAGTGCCTTAATTGTAAATAATATAATACGTTTACTGATGATTTAAGCGTCTATAATGCCGCTGTCTAAATAGGTGAGTTCGTAAAATCAATGATATCACTCTGTTCCTAGGAATGGACAGAGTTATTTTGGTATTTTAATATTATTCAGGTTCAAAAACTAAAAAATAACTTGACATTCAAGTTTATCAACAATAATATGAATTATTCGATTCAAGTATTATCTCAAAAATGTTTCGTCAAAAGCTGAACCTTTATCGTGAAAAAAGTGGTTCCAAATTCATTGGACTATTTGTCAATCAACTTGACTGTCAATAAATAATTATTATCTCTAATATATGAACACTAATTTGTTCGACAATAGACATTAAATAAAAATATCATTCCCATAACATAGTGTGTCGCATGATGATTTGTGACCAATATTTTATAATTATTTTAATCGTTTTTTTAAACTATACGAATATATTCATCTTACATATATTCATAGATATATAGATATACAATTATATTTACACCTTTCTGACTCAATCGGTCAATATGAATGAATTTTGTCATATCTTTAGTACTCTCTGGTAGATGTCTCATGCAGTTTTATTTATTTTGCAACATCTATTTTACTATTATGTAATCTTATTATTCAATTTACAAACCGAAGGGTACCAAATTAACTTTCATTTGATTCGAATTTATTTGTCTCATTGAATCAATATACCAATATACATAAATACTCCAATTAGCTAAAATTCCTTCTTTACCTTTTATAACAAAATTAGGATAATTAGTTAAATTATAAAATAATAATAAATAATTAATTTATATGATTGTCAATTGTAATTTTTGAAATATAAAGTATTCACACTCAAATGGAGATGACTCATAGAATCAAGAAGTATCAGTCTGAAAGTTTTTATGGATAATTTAAACCCTATATAGTGTAGGAATGAGTAAATATGATACTTTTGTCCATTATTAATTCTACTAAATGAATAAATAAAATCTTGGATTGATCATTAAGTAGGAGGGATACAAGTGGCGTTGCCCTTATTGAAAACGCTAAAATCATACAGTTCATTATTGCAGTATTATCTCACCTGAGTGTAATCATCTTAAATAGATTATTAAACGCCTACCTACATGCTAACATTCAAAGGCATTATAATTTTTCTGATATTATAATGGGTCTATGCAAAAAAATATTTTTTATTCTTTTCTCTTATGGGTTATCGTTGATTTTAGGTGGCAATGAACTCTTTTAAAATATCTATCAATTATTATTATCATTATTATTTAGAATTATTAAAACTTATTGATGTAATTATTGGGATATACTTGGAATTTATTTTTTTCAAATAATGGAAAGTTTTTGTTTTGATGTGATATTTCAAAAATATTTGATAGTAGTGTTTTCGTGTTTATAGGAATTAATTATTGTACAGGTACGATGACGTTTGAAGCTTGTTGTGCGAATGTAGGCAAGATATTATGTATTTCTGGCTATGGCTGACTCACGCTAACTCCTACACACATTATTTTTCATACAAGTTACATATTACTACTGTCTACATTATACTTTTCACAAAATTATTGTACATTTTTAATGTTTTTATCATTGAATAAAATCTCTAGTAATTTTACGAATCAATTAAATAAAAAAAGAGAAACAATTAATTGAATCTATTTTGAAAATTTTTAGTATATACTTTTAAACATCAAAGCACAAGTTTAAAATGAAAAAAAAATTATAACACAGTTGAAATGAATTTAAGAAACTAAAAATGATTGTTTCCGGTTCTATAAAGTTGTTACAATGAATAGATATAATTAATTTATTTGCCGGCGAATTTTTCAATAACTGTCTAAAGGTTCATTAACAATACAAATAAGATGTAAAAATGATTGTTAATTATTAAATAAATAAATAAAAGCATAGGTTTATGGTGGAATGTGTTAATATGTGAATAAGGTAGTTGAGGATTATTTGATAAAATACCTTTCCAAAAGTGTACGGTCATTACAAAGGCCATCTGTTTTACTCTTTTAACTATTTCTGCCTTATTTAAATCATTCAATGACGCCATCCACGGATGGACCAAAATCGGACGTCGAACGCCTCCACTCGTTTCTTTGGTATGTGAGATGTGTTAAAAATAAATATCTTTGAGTTAGAATGAAATTAGCCAAACACCATATATATCAATATTTTAACACAAATAACAAAATCAATGGAATTATTTTAATGATATTTGATGATAAAATAGTCTGGTAGATAGTAATTTATTTATCATTCACCCAATAATCATTCAATGATGCGATAAACAAATGATTCAGATGAATCACATAAACTGTCTGCGATAAGGCATGAAATTTTTTAGATAATCATAACAATAATGATAATGATATTGAATGAAATAGTAATATAAAATTGGCAAGCAAACTTGATCACTAATGAATTGATAGAGTTAAATTCACATTTATATACATGCATATGACAAGTAGTCTATTCGTGAAATTTCTTCTTGTGTAGTACTTGAATTTAAAGTAGTATAGAAGCAATTGCTACTGGCATCATGCCATCATCAAGCGTCCCGACGCTTACCGAAAATATAGACCGAATACATCCGAAGACGAAGGCGTCCCGGCGTCATCCAGAAACGAGAAGTACATCGTCAGTAATCGTTAGTACGCATATGAGATGGCTGTAAAGCTATCACACTTACAATTAATCGCGTTTATTGTTACTAATTGTTATCAAAACGATGTAACCGTTCATTTAGTGTCGTTTCATATTTTTTCATTAGATCAAATTGTTTAATTTTGTTATAATTATTTATTTTTTTAATTTATTCAATAACAAAATAATTAAAAGAAGTTTGCATGTGCAGTTAATGAAAATATATAGATAATAATGTTGTTGTTGTTATTATTATTATTATTGTTGTTGATAATCAGTGAAGAGTAGGATAAAAATGTGAATAAATGAATGGAAAAAACGATTTTTTCCTACATTGTTGTTTAGGCAGATAAAAAAAAAAGTGTCAAACTAAATGTGGACAAAACTCAAATGTTTATTTATTACAATTAGAGTGTTTTTGCAAGTTATATGCCTACACATATATCATTCCTATGCCAATACAACACACTCCGCATTCCCATCTTATATTATATATTATTTTAAAATAAATAATTTAATAGATAATAAAGAATTATAACAATTATATGTATTAAAAGAAACATATGAGATAGAATACAAGAAGATGGAATATCGTTAAGATTACGAGGTTACCACAGAATGCCTGAGCCTAGGGCAAAACGCTGTAAACACTGTGACGGTACGGAATATTGTTAGTGTTACTATGGATAATCCTTCTTGCGGTGAAAGAACTGAACCAACTATTTAATTGCTAACTTGAAATATCATTTACATAAGAATTGTGTTTTTGTGTAATAAATGTTGAATTATATATTGTGTTTAAAAGCTCTACTCTGTCAAACTAACCCAGTAAGAAGTTGAATATAGAAAAATTTTTGCATTTGTAGTGTGTTATTTTTCCATGATATATTTTGCTAACCATTATTGTTAGTTTTGGTTTTTTATTTTGTACCTTACTAACTCACTTATATGATTAACCGAAAAATTAATGTCTGTTAATATATTAAATATTAATAAAATAATTGTTATTTATTCTACAGAAGTTTTTTCTTTTTTTTATTTGGATTAAAAATAATAAATTTATAAATGAAAAATCTATCATTATGATTTTATTACCATTAAAATTGATAAACATTAAAGTGTCGTTACATATGTATATAAAAATGATTGGAAAAAATTTTTTAACGTTAGATGAAAATAACGAGGAGAAAAAAATAGATAAAAACTTGAATTTAAAATATAAAATTTATTGTCAATAGTCATGCATAAATTATTTCCGTTTCTACTGGACATTTATTTATTACTTTTGTACACTTTTAAAAATTACACGAATTTATGAGAAATAATAAAATTAAAAAACTGGATCAAATGAGTCGTAATGAAAATATTTTTTTTACATCAGTTTGAATTATAGTATGTACACAAAATAAGACATTTAAAAAACAATTGTTAGTCATCATTAATATAATCTAGACTTGAAATTTCATCAGGAATTAAAAATGAAGCACAAATTGTTTCCATGTAGAAATGGAGTAATAAAATGTCGGATAGTCTAAGTGATATACACTTAAAATGGAAAAAGAATAATTTTAAAAATGAAATCTTGCATAGCACAAAGTAAAAAATTCATCGACATTATTTGGCAGTATCACGAATGGATTATTTATCGTTACGGTATGTGCGTTACGTGGGCGTATTTCCCGAGAGCTGGCTGTCAT